ACTGTTTTTGAAGAACAACCAAAAATTAAAGTAAAAGAAAGTTTGGAAACAATTCCTAAGAGCTGTGAGGCGAAAGCTAACAGCGAACCGATCGGACCGACGAAGAAGAGGTCTGCTCAACGCAGCGGTAAGAAAGGAACAAAAACTGTTTTTGAAGAACAACCAAAAATTAAAGTAAAAGAAAGTTTGGAAACAATTCCTAAGAGCTGTGAGGCGAAAGCTAACAGCGAACCGATCGGACCGACGAAGAAGAGGTCTGCTCAACGCAGCGGTAAGAAAGGAACTGGTGGGATGTCCGTGCCCACCCCTCTGGGCATGCGCGGTGGGGTTCCCGGGCATACCTGAGGGACTGGGCATGAAAATCCATTCAAAGAGCTTGCTACAGCACTGATCGATCCAGCGCGTGCGCATTAGATCCCATGGATGTGAAGCACAGAGACCACGTCGAAGATAGCTTAGTTATGCTTTGTGATGGCTGCATTACTGGTTCCAGCTAAACAGCCATCAGGACTGAAAGACATGAAACCCACTGCTAGCTGAAGGGAGAAGGAAGACATGTGTAGGTCAGTGCAAAAAGAAAACACATAATTTTTATCTGTGAAAAGGAAAGACACAGGGCCTAATTACAGGATACATTGCTTTCAAGTCTATCCTTGGGCCCTATGAAGCAGACACTTGATTCCCCTGCACCCTGGTTTGGATCAAGACAGCTGTGCTTGGGGAAAGGAAGCTTAATCATCCCCCATTCTGTTTTCCTGATCTGAAATACTACAGAAACATCATAAGACTCCAGTTCTCTTTTCTTCTGAAAAACCTGTGTAAGCAGCAACCTCTGAAGCTTCTCATCGCTTGGAGAAGTGAGGTGAGCAAAACATTATCTTGATATAATACAAACATTGGGTTGGATCCAATGCAAAATTCCTTTTGCACTAGATCTGTTGCACAAGTGGAAACACAAGAAAGACTGCTGTAGCCACTTGCACTAAGTCAAACTTATCGTTTCTCCATTTGTACTTCTGCAAGATCTTGAACAACCAATTTCTGAGCATTGTCATATATATGGAGGAAAGTGCTAGTGTTGCACAAGAGGATCTAGGTCTGTTTATGTTTTTGCTTGTACATCACTGGATGCAAGCCTGAGTGTCCTACTGGTGGGGCTCTGGTGTGCATGCAACACCTCTGATGAGTACATGAGGTTCACAGAAGCAGAAGTGATCCTCTCTGGTTTAACATCAGCAGAAATGTATACAGTGCCTTATGCACAATTTGGAGCGCTGCAGAAATATACAACTAAGCCCATTCATGTGCTATAGACAAAATTCTTTATAGAACAGGAAGAAAAAAATCAGTTTTGAAACCTTTAATACATGTTTGACTCATTTTTTCAGCTTCTAAAGAGCAAATGAATCTTGACAACCAGCTTAACTTGTTCTATTGTGAGAACAATTACATTCTTTTCTACTGGATGTGTATGTTAATGTTTTACTTGGCAGGGAAACAACAGATCACCAAACAATGCGGAAATTTGATACTCAGCAATATTCTAAAGCTTTAGTGCTCTTTAGCAATTCATGTAAATTTTGTAGAAATAAGAAAAAGAATAATGCATGCAGGTGAAGATAGCCTATCTAGATGAAGTTACAAAAAACAGAGTTTGGATTTGTGGATAGAAAGGTAAATGGAAAGCAGAGGAGAACTGCTGAGTAGAGAGACATTTTCTTTATATGTAAGGTCTGTCGCAGGACTCATTAAGAAACCGTGAATACGTGTCACAGAAGCCTTCATCATTACCTCTGCTTCACAACCACTTCTTCATTGGCCATAACCATATGCTGTTCAATTCAGTTCTTTCAAGGAAAATGACCAAAAAGCCCATTGGCTGTTTGACACTTAAAATGTAGCCACTCGGTCTCTATCACACAAGCAGGCTATAAGACTATTTTAAGATAAATTAATACATTCGCATAGAAAGAATTAATACGAACACATAAACATACATCTAAAACATTTTTCTATACAAAAAGATTAAAACTTAAATTTATCCTATACACAACAATACTTTGGTGCAAATACTCAGAGTTGTTGTAATGTATTTAGCAACAATTTCTGTGACCCTTCTATCATTACCTGAAAGAATGTTTAAACGATGGTAATATGCAGAACACTATGGGTAACTTGCCAGAACAGGAGCAAGCAAGGAAGCTCTGCCTACTATAAAACTTGTAAGAAAAGAAGTGGAGACTGACCCCAATGTCTGGGAATACTGTGTACTGACAGTGTTATAGTGACTAGAACTTTACATCATAAATGCAACAAGTAGTTCTGCAAAAACCCAACAAACTCTTCCAGTTGTCCCTACCTGACGCCAGGCCAGTTAACGTTACGACTAACCATCCTGACCACGCATCATACAAACTCTTTGTCATCTCCCATGCGGATTCTTTCTTCTTGCTATTAATCTGTAGAAACAAAACGTTACCTTATATGCTACAATTATTTAATCTCTAAATCCACATACAAAGTATAAGCACTCTCCTACTGAGCAATAGCCCCTTTCTGACCTATGGAAAATGGGATCCTGGTATCTGCTACCTTCTCACCCAATAACTAAACTTTTGTTCAACTCAGCTGCTTACGGTAAAGTTTCAGAAACTGGAGAGGCCATATCCCTGTCCTGCTTCTGGATTTTTTTCTTGGTCCTCGTGCTCTTAGACTGAGGTCAAATGAGTCTACTCAGATGCCTTGTCTCCCATCACTCTAGCAATCAGAAGCTTGGAACAGACAGCCCATCCTCTGCAATTACTGTCTCAAGTCTTTGCCTCTCCTTGTCACCAGTGGCCAGCTATGGAGGGGGTGGGGCTGAGAGGAAAAGGTGTCTGGCATGGTTTGTTTTCCAAACTCAGCCCCCCCCCCAGGCACTTATCATAGGAGGGATGACAGGAGAGAATGGGATGCCCCTTCCTCCATGAGTCCCTGTGGACACCTAGCTTGTCATTTACTATCTACAAACATTAGGATAAAATGGCAATGAAGGAGTTTTAAATACCCGTCTGTGTCTCTCTCTGTCTTTGCATTTCTCTCGCACCCAATCAATGGTGTGGAAGTCATCATATGTTCCAACTCCAGGAATAGGTTCATCCAAAAGGTCCAGTAAGTGTGTTGTACTGTTAATACTGCCTCCATTTGTCATTGTATAATGAGTTCCTGCTGTGGAAAGAGAATGAAAAATAATTAAGCTCTCTAACGGAAAAGAATTATTAATATAGTCTACTAGGAAAAAGGCCCGTTGTGGAAATAAATATAACGGCCTCTAGAAAGAGGCTACGGGCGGGTGCCCTGGCCTTGGACACTCAGTGTCACTTTGCTGTGGCGACCTCAGCAGGGTATAATGACACTGAGTCCACCATTTTCTCCAGAGGAACTGATCGCTGCTACCTAAAGAACAGTTGTAATTTTGAGTGATCTCCAGCCCTCACCTGGACATTGGCAACAATGGTTCCCCAGAAGGGAATGGTTGGTTTGGAGGGTGGAGTCTATGGCTTTGTACCTGTCCAAGGTCCCACGCCTCCTGAAACATCCCTCACATCTCCAGGAATTTCCCACCTGGAGTTGGCAACTCTATCTCATTCCCAGCCAATCATCAACCTACCTTTATTTTCCCCTCACTCTTCAGTTTCCCACCCCCCACAAACCTGCAGCCTCTCCCGTGCTCTGAAGCTCTGACTGCTACGTCACATTGGCTGTCATACGGGGGCCACCTCAGCAGCATATAAGGATACAGAGTCCACCCTTTTCTCAAGGGGAACTGATCTCTGCCATCTGGAAAACAGTTGGAATTCTGAGTGATCTCCAGCCCTCACTTGGAGATTGGACAGATTTTACCTCAGAACAGCAAACTGTTCTGGCAAAGGCCAATGAGGCTGCATATGCAAATAACCTCTGTGTTCTGACTGGGGGGGAGAGGAACAACAAACTGTTTAGAATGTTAGAGGCGAGACTCAAGCAATGCAGCCAGTGGATAGGGACAGATTCTGAGTGACATACCAGGGTGCCAACCAATTACGGAGTGTGTGGAATGTTCTAGAGAAGTGCCACCCCCATTCGGCTTTTATATATAAGGGAGATGCCTAGCAACACTCTATTTATTATAAAATGCTATACACTGCTACTCAAGATTGGGTTGATTTCTTTGATACATATTCTGACTGGGTCCAGCAGGAGACCCACTATTTACAAGACTTTTATTATACTTTTCTACCTTAAGCACTCTCAAAGATAACATTAACACAGAAATGGTAAAGCCATATCTTTTGGAAAGTTGTACCCCTGTATGCAATTAAAAGCACTAGAGAACAGGATAAACATCTATCTCTAAAAGGAGCCAAAACTTCAAAAGCCCGAGGCAACTAAAGAAAAACCTCCATTAAAGACCTTAACTAATTGGCAGGTTGATATGGGAGCACGTGGCCGTTAAGCGGTCCCAACTAGCCATGATGGCTTAAGGGAATCTCCATTTTCAAAGGCAGTATGTCCATAAATACCAATTACTGAAAGCCCATCACCTGCAGTGGATGGATACTACCTTAATGCCCTGCTTGTAGTCTTCTAAGACTACATATGGTTGCCTCCTGTGGAAAACAGGATGCTAAACTAGACGGATCTTTCATCCAATCCAGAAAAGATATTCTAACATTCAGACATGACTCTTACTTAGTCTCAGCATCTGGTTGTATCAAGACTATATCATTCATAAATCCATGTATGTAGTATTATTCATACAAATAATAAACAAATTATCAATAGTAAATGAAAAAAGCTGGTTTAAAGGCATTTATGTTTACAGGAATTTCTCCCCATCAACACTTTTCTTTCATATTATCGGCTTGTTCTTCATTTTCAGAGAAGAAACTAAGGAAAACAAAAAAATCTTAGAAATTACAGAGAAAGCATCCCTTATTCCAGTTTATTGTACTTTGGTGATCAGCATTTTTCCCGAAGTAGTCAGATTAATTGTAAATGGCAGAAAACAGGTCCGTCTCATATACCCCATAAAAACTAGATTTACCTCCAAGTACAAAAACATATCTTTCACATCTCCGAAGCAAGAGCAGTCACCATTACCAGTAGACCATATAAAACTACTACTACTACTACTACTACTACTACTACTGTATGTAGTACCATCATTGATCTCTACCTTCACTTTTTTAGACTCAATAATGATTAAAAGAAAGGAACTTTTAAAAGATTAATTTCATTTTAAGCCCAGGGAGCAGATGGGCCCAAGAAAAAGCCACTGGCCTCCCAACTAGAAGACCACATTTTGCCCATGCAGTATAGTGGTTAATGTGGAATGCCTCAAATCCTCACTTTGCTACAACACTCGCTGGGTGTCTTAGAGCCAGTTACTATATCTCAGCTGAAAGTACCTCACCAGGGGGTTCCTGGTAGGAAGGAAGCAAGCATGAGATTTTTTAAAATACACAAAACATACACCCCAATACAGACTACTACAAAGGAAACTATTTTCAGGTTTTATTCCCTTAAAATAGGAAATGAGCTAAGTGTTCATGTGGGCTTGGGGGAAAACTCATATATCAGACTGCCTAAGATAAATATATACTTCTGGCCAATCTGGCACATATGTAGTCTTGGACCAACCATTTCTCTTCGGCAGGAAAAAAGTACAAAAAGAATCTATTAGCTTCCTCTTTCTCCTTCCCAGACTCAGATCAAGCAAAGAGCTGCCATTAGCGCTCTGGAGACACAGTTCACCTTCTGGAAGCAAGGAAGAAAAGCAGAGCAGGGAATCTGGCACACCAAATTTAATTTACAAGCCTACATAGGTTATATTCCTACTATAGAAATAAGAAGCAGAAGACAGAGAACCTCTATTCTCTATACTACAACAAGACCAGGAGCTGACTGTGGAACAGACCATGAATTAATATTGAAAATTAGAATTAAGCTGAAGAAAAACACCAAAACATTCATAATGCCAAACAGAATCTAAACAACATTCCTGAAGAATTTAAGGACCATGCAAAGAACAGGTTTACATTACTAAGTTCAAGTCGACAGGAAACAGAACAATTGATTGAAACCAGAAATATTATCGCCCTGATCTGGATAGCCCAGGCAATCCTGATCTTGTCAGATCTCAGAAGTTAAGCGGGGCTGACTCTGGTAAGTATTTGGATGGGAGACCTCCAAAGAATACCAGGGCCAGGAGGCAGAGACAGGCTATCAAGACACTTCTCTGAACGTCCTCCATGCCCCAGTAGGAGTTGCCAGAGGTTGCCACACCTTCCAGGCACGAGCACATACACACGCACAAACGCAAAAATATAAAGAAAGAAAGAAACCAGAAATATTATCAAGGAAAAATGCACAAATACTATTCCTGTAGCCAAAAGAAATGAAAAGCTTCAATGGATAACTAACTGGTGAAACTCTTAAAATTGCTAAAGAGAGGCGAGACAAGAAGCAAAACTGAAAGGTCACAGAAACAGAATCAGAAGTCTAAATGCAGTGTTCCAACAACTGGCACATTGAGACAAAGAGAACTATTATAATAACCAGCGTAAATAAATAGAAGAGAACAACAAAAAAAGAACAAGAGACCTGTTTCATAAAATTCAAGAAGACAAAGGGAAATTTGAACCGCAGTTAGGCATGCTTCTAAGGTCAACATAGAAATACATTAAATGAACAAAACAAAATAAATAAACGTTCTAATGTTCTTTCAAATCCAGTGAGTGTGGATGATTTATGGATGTTCTAATGCAGCCTCTGATGGATCTGTTGACCTTTAATTCCATTTCTTCTCACTTTTCCCAAAGAGGCAACAGAACAAAATCCATATATCCACTTATCATTCAAAGACAGACAAGAATTTAACAAGCACAATGTTCACGGTAGGAAAGGTTTAAACTGCCTCCATGATGACATACCTTATAAATAATCTATAGCAGAATGAAAGAACAAAGGACATTAAATCGTTTACTACAGCACAAGCACTTTAATCTTGGAAAGAACATTCACAGGCACTTTAATTGATCATACGAATAGTTAAGAATGGACTATTGTTAATGATAATGAACTATTTACTGTGACTAATTTGCACTGTTGTAGAGATATATTCACTATAATAAGAAAATATTGAAGTATCAAGGTTGTCAACGGTGTTCCCTCTAAGCTGAGTTAGTGTGAGCTAGCTCACAGTTTTTTAGCATCCGGCTCACACATTTTTGTCTTAGCTCAGGAAGGATGGCTCCAGAGCAAACTAATTCATGCAGTAGCCAAATCACTCACTCACAACTTTAATGCCAGTAGCTCACAAAGTAGAATTTTTGCTCACAAGATTCCACAGCTTAGAGGGAGCATTGGTTGTCAGTTATCATTTCAGTTTTTGTATTTTTTTTTATTAAAACTTGTTCCCATGGATCTCTCTGGGGTATAGGTAGAGAATGAGTTGGTCCGTCCGTCCCCCCCGCTCTATAGCTGTTGGTTATATATTTTGTCAGTTATAATTTCAGTTTTTGTATTTTTTTTAATTATACCTTGTTCCCATGGATCTCTCTGGGGTATAGGTAGAGAATGAGTTGGTCCGTCCGTCCCCCCCGCTCTATAGCTGTTGGTTATATATTGTGTTTTATTTTTGGTTTGGTTCTTTTTTGACTACAGCTCTGGTTTTCCGGTTATCTGGGTGGTGATGTTTTGCTGTGCTCCCTGAAGATAAAGTTGCAGGCTGTATACTTTTTCTATTTATTTATTTATTTATTTTATCCAATTGGTATTATTTTAAAGTGGAGCCTAGCTGGCTGAGAAGTATGCTCTATGAGCCTTCAGTTCTTCCAGACAGGGGTTCTGTTACGAACAGAGCACAACATTGGTTATTACTATAGGGAGGAAAAAGAAATCACCCTTTCAAGGAATTCTCTGCACCCCAAAGAAAACAGAGTAGAATGGTGATTTCCTAGATATTAGTTCTCCCACTATCTGCTCAAAATCATCATTTACCTTTGCTATCTAATGATAAAGCTCCCCTATTAGCCAATTCCAGTATCATTAATGAGACTAAAATATCTCTTCAGCACCTAAGTTACTGGAAATAGATCTCTCCAGAGAACAACATTTAAAGATGCATTCTAAGGTTCATTTGAAATATGATGTTGGAGGACAGTTTTACGAATACTGTGGACTGC